AGCCTCTGAAAGACAATAATGTCGACTGCGGACGTTTTCATCAGCACACAGCTGAAGAGGCTGCCCATAAGTCCTTAGTAGCCACCTAATAAAACCCTAGCAACCAATCAGAACACATTAGAAATCACCTGTAAACACACAATGAAACACCATAAACAACAGTTCAGCAATCTCACGCCCTTTATAATGTGAGGTGTAATAAGTAATAATAGAGAGATAAGAAACATCTGTGTACTAGTCTTACACAGACCTGAGTGCCATCACACACACTCATCTGTATGGCTGTGTGAATGAGTGTGTGTATACGGCTGCATGTGTGTGAGTGAATTTGGTCTCATGACTCTGGTTAAGCTGATGTTTCCCTAAGGCTGTTTTGATTGGACCTACAGTTGAACTCTGATATTTAATAATGAGCCAAGTACTCCCTCAGTCTCTGCCTTTCCCTTCACACACACACACACCCTTGTACAGCTCACCAAACGACTGAATCATTCAGTGAAATATAAACAACTAGTGGTTCATTAACTGATGATTTGGCCATGAGACATCACTGGACCTGGTCCATCACGTCATTAAACCACTTCTGCTTTGGTTCACACTGACAGTGGATTTAATTTTGTGATGTCTGGCATCTTATCTGCTCTGCAGGACGTGTTTTCTCTTTTGGAGCGCAGCCTTGAAGGCAGATTATTTGTTAATCAGGAGAGATGAGCACAACAGATACTCGCACATGGATAGATGACAAACAAAATTGCACATTTGTGTACCGGTATACATGATCTTAATATGCCTCCTACAGCAATTAGATTGAGCACATGGAACAAATGTATTAATCAGTTATACCTTCTGTTATCTCCCCCTCCATACTTCCCTCCATACGTAGCGTGGACCAAGGGAGACACACTATGTGGATGTCTCCATCTGCTGGTAGTAAAGGGGTAATAGAACATATTAATCTATTATAGTGCTGCACTGACTGTAGGTTTAGCGGTTTAGAGACTAAGCTTTTAAAAATCTTAGACACAGTGTATAATTTTTTTACACATTTCATTCATAAATGCTCAGATATAACACATTCACACATTAAAAGAAACATAAAATGGTTCAAAATGTCATCAAATGTACGGTTTACGGTTCTAAAACCACCTAGAAGAAAGACATTTTATTTTTTAGATTAATGTAGAAGCATTAAAGAGCACAAAGTATAAAGAAAATGAAATAAACTAACCTACCTGGTAACCAATAAGTGATTTCTTTAGTTTTGTATTAATTCAAACTCTAACTTTTGTCTTCCCAAAGATATAATCTCTCCTCTGATATGTTTCCTGGATAAATATACTCCATGCAGATTGTTCCAAACTTTGTCAAAGTCAGTTATACAACATGATTCAGCATGGCTGAACTCACACTCACATTCAAACCTAAATTTAACATATTTTCCTCTCTGTTCCCGCAGTGAATGTGTGACTTGTCATCATGAGTAAGTCAGACTCTTTTATGATCAAACTGAACAGTCTGATCCGCTATTGTTCAACATGAATTAGTGGGTTTTGAGTGAATGCATATGTAATAATTGTTCAGAAATGTCTAGACTGTACCGTCAGAGCAACACTCAGAAAACGTTTTTATATATAGCTTCTTAAACCTGGAGACTTCTGTCAAGGCTGTCACTTTATGGTGTGAAAAACACGATCCATTTCAAATGTCAAGTCTCATGTAGCGTAATTAATGTCTCTGAATGCATCATTACTAATGCATCCTTTACTCTGTAAATTACATGCAAACACCATTGTTATTCTTTTAGTTGTCTATCAGCACTAACAGCATGATGTTTTCCTATCCACTTGGTTTAAGAAATTAAAATAACCAGCTACAATTACTCTAATTGCTTGAAGAGGTGAAGCAACTATACCACACATCTCTACAATTAAGACTTATTTTTAATTTATCTTTTCTTTTTTTATTCCATGTGGTTACTGTTGATCACTGCAAGATATGAGTTAAGCTGCTTGTGGCAACTCTACTGTAACAAGGCCCAAGATATCTGAACTTTCTGTTCTTGGTGATCTTTCTCAGTGATATCAGCTGAAGTAAACTTAGGGGGACAAAAATGTTATCCTTCAAAGAGACAAACAGCTACGTCTAAATTAAACCTCCAAGACTTCTTGTTGTCTCAACTGTACAAAACATTATATCTATGTCAGTGTGGCTGTAATTATTAAGAGAAAGTGAAGACATTTTATCTGATGGGAGAAAAAGTAAATCCGAACAATTCATATATTATCTAACAGACAGTTTATATCATCCCGCAACAAAATCCCAGAGTTTAAATGCTGCATGTGTTTAATGTTCATTTTATGCAATAAATATTTAATTTAATATTGCTCATTTTAGAAAGATCTATAGGCAAATATTTAAAATGTTCTGTTTGGGATTTTTTTATTCAGCTTGTTTTGCATTTTCTACATTAGCAGCTTCCCTACAAAGCCAATTTTAGTTTTAAAGCCTTTGATGAAATATTCTTGATTAAATAAGCAACAATTATTATGTTATTATTAATATGCAACACTAAAAAGACTCAGCTAATCTGACCAAGACTGTGTAGTTTGATCAGATTTAAACAGCAGCGTGGCAACCTCAGCAATCAACCCCACAACTGTCACCATATTTGATTAAAATTTAGCTAAATCCTCGCTGGTGCATGTAAAGTTCTACACATCATGGTTTTCCAGCTGAGCCCAGTAAGATGAGCTCAGACAAATACAGAAATCTCTCATGTGAAATATTCAAAACTGGTTGTCTCTACTTTTGTCTATAAGTAGTCTAACAATGAAGTCAACAGAATAACTGTGAGTGTCTTTTTATCAATAAACATCAACCCATTTATGTTTAAAACTCCTTTTCTCTGTCTGTGTTAACAAACTGACGACGAGACTTGAGTTACTTCATTCTTTGGCACACCCAAAGCGTCAATTTAATTCACTCATTCAAGAAAAAAGTACAAAAGTTTGATTCTTCATCATTCATTCTACTGCAGACCAATAAACAAAAAAACTTCATCATCCAGTAGTTACAGGAAGAGCTTTCACATGGCTCTGGGTGACATTTTGTGAGGCTGGAAAAAGCTCAAAGCGATGCCTTCAGGAGTGGTAGAAATAAAACTGCAATTCTGTTTAAAATTGAGTCCAAAAAAAAAAATCTCTATACATTTTTAAAAAATTGTCAGTGTAGTTGACATTGTTGCATTATTTCTTGCACACATTTTCACATCATATGCACATTTCAACAGTGCCAATTATATTTCCCTATTACACTCCATGCACTGCCTTTAGTTCAGAAAAACAAGGCTCAGTACATTCTTTAGTCAGTGTAGCTACATTCAGCAATACAGTAATGGACACACATACATCAAATACATAAAACAAACAGCAAAGTAACTATTGTGGAGTCTTTGGCACTTTCTTTGTGTGTGTGTGTGGTCGTGGGGGGTAAACTGAATACATTTCTTCTATGACACGCAACACAAGCTTTATTTGTTATAAAACCTGCTGTCCACTGTCTGAATTACCTACAGTGTTGTGACAAAGTTAGTTCACCTCACATACTGTTTGTGGACAGATTTAATCTGGACTCCACAGCTATTATAGGTAAACATCCCCTTCTACGATAAACTCATTTGACTCCCTAAAATCCAACATGTTTCCAATTGGTAAAAGGTTGCAATGGCTCAATTTCCAAATTATTATTAAAACTGCAAGTTTAAAACTTGTAGCTACAACTTGAGTGCAAGACCTGAGCACACTGTTTTTAATTTCATTTAAAAAGTCTTGACATTTTCCTGTAATTCTAAAGTAAGATTATATATCATTATATAAGTTTCAGACAACCTTCCTTTTTAAATTATGGGCTTCATACTGTAGACCTTTGTTGGATGTCATTTCCCCTCACTCTCCTCTTGTTTACTGTCTGTCTCTATACTATTAACTATCTTGTAAAGGCAAAAATGCTCAGAAAATATTCTAAAAAAATACCTTTAAAATAATTCCTTCTGTCAACGTGTTTCCAGTCTGTTTGTTTGTTAGCAGGATATCTCAAAGTTGTAAACATATTTCAATGAAATCTGGTGGAATGGGCCAAGGAACAAGTGATTTGTTTTAAGGCCATTCTTGACCATTATGGAACTTTCTTCTTTTATTCCAATAAACTATTGTACTTGAGAGAAAACAGGTATGCTTCTCCTATACTTAGTTTTAATTGGTTGCTCTGACTAAATAAAAATAAAAAGAGGACTGCAATATAGAATAAGGATGAAAGAATCTCCACACATCCGCCAACCCAAAGCTCAAACCAGTGCTTCAACATACAAGATCTGAAATGAGGAAACCTGGAGCGCCTTATTAAAAAGTTCTTCTTCAGATCTCCTCATTCAAGCACTGCAATCTGTTTGTTTCCCCAAAACAAAATCAGGTGGCACTCTCCTGAATTTGTTTTTCCGGGAAATACATTTCTGAACCACTGTGCTCTTCATCATGTATATTTGATGAAGAGTGCACATTAGGTACTCATTAGGATATAGTTTAAGAACATTTTCAAAAATACGTGATCAATATCTGCAGAAAAATAAAATGAATCCAAAAAAAAAAAAAACTCAAGGCATATAAAAACTTTTTCATAGCACTGTATCTTCCCTCTCAAAATAAACAAGAAACAGTCTGGGCTTTACAAAAGCAATAACGGGGCACTGTCAGGGATTTCTTTAGCTCACAAAAAGTACACCAGTGTAGGTGTGTGTATATGTCTGTATCATGTGGATGCTATTTAGCATTAGGGGGCAGATAGTAGGGTTGAAACAGTCTCTCATGGCTGCAGATGTGCAGGGCATTGTGTGTGTGCATCAGTAACCGTGGAAACCGTGAGGTGAAGTAGCTGACGAAGCCTTCGGGCAGCTCTCCGAGAGTCTCCTGCACCTCCGGTGGCAACTCGTGGTAGTGATGCTTCTGTAACATGCAATGTTAACATGCAAAGTGTCAAAAAAACTGACTGATGTGTCAAAGTGTGTCTACTTAAAATATAAGTATAGAAGTAAGCATGCACACTGACCTTATTCCTCATGGCTCTCAGCAGATCTCTGACTGAGTTTCCTTTATATGTCCTGAACCGCCTTAAGTCTGAAATGTACACAAGAAAATATAGAAAATACAGATTAAACTGAGAGTGTTACGGATAACAACATCATAAATAGAACAAAAGTAAGTCAGACTCAGTTGTCTCCACTGGCTCCAATACCCTGCAAAATAGATTTTACGAGGATTTAAGACATGGGGAGATAGGGGGATTTTAACTCTGGGCATTTATTTGATAAAAGGAATGATACAATGATACTCACATTTTAACAAATCCTAGAAATTACTTTTTCAGATTTATTCAGCAGTTACATCTTTGACTGTCAAACCTCACAGATTTACTACTTGGTGGAGGCAAGAAATCCATTCTCTGAGTTTAAAATATCTTTGAATCATGGATTAATGATAATTTAATTTTACACCAACAACATGGCTTGAAATATGGCAATTTGTGAGGGAGATTTCAATATGTAATAGAGCCTGAGAGACTCGGTTCAGGATTCTGCATCGTTTAAAGATTAATTGTCAGTAAACTTAATCTAATTTTCAATGTCCGACTTGATGTTAAACCTCAGGTTTTGCCTCTTGGTTTGCCGAGTATTCGTTAATATTAAAGGCTCTCATCAAAGAAGGCTGTTCAATGTTTTTACATTTGCTGCCCAGAAAAATATATTACTCAGATGGATTGATATTTGAACTAATATCAATGGAATATATAACAGATTATCTAACGGATATCTAATACATATTTAAATGTAAAATGATGACTTATTTTAAGACTTGGACATCCTTCTTTAGATATTCTGGTAAAAGACTTACAAATATTGTATTGAAAGAAATGGTAGATGGCAATAAGGATAACTGGCTAATTGACTTTTGGGGGATAAAAAGTAAGATATTAATTTACTCATTTTATAAATTATTTTTTCTCTCAAATATATATTTTTTCTTTTTCATTATTTATTTTACCTTCTTTCTCTCCAAATGTCTTTTTGTTGCATCACTGTCTACTGTAATGGAACTGAGCTTTTCCTCATACGTGTATGCAGAGTATATATGTGTCTATGTATATATTGATGTGAGTGTATATAATGTGCAAGGTACATCACATAACACGGATCCAAGCTTTGGTTCTTGTGGCCACTGTGTTCTGTTGGTGTTGTTGGAGCTGTTGGTGTTAACAGTGCAGTTATGTGAAGCTACGTGTGTGTGTGTGTGTGTGTGTGTGTACCTGTCTGTAGGGGCACAGAGATATGCAACCTCCAGTTGGTTCGAACCACAGTTCTTCCTGCAGTCTCCAGTCTGACAACAATCGGACTGTCGGGTGGTTCCTTCTCTATGCGGTCGCTCACATCCTAAGTACAAACACACACACAAACAAAGAGCATTGTTTCTGGAGTCTACAGACATGAGACATGTGGCTAAGCAAGAAGGATACAGGAAAAACTACACAATCCAGGTGTACACACACACACACACCCCTGTAGGTTTCTTTGTGTAAATATTATCAAATGTCCATGGAGAAGTGATTCCCACACCTGGAAAAAGAGCAGCTGCTTCTCAGGGCTCCAGAAGAATGGATGTTTGAGCACACAGGCGGTGGAGGGGCGGGACTCGGCCTCAGTGCTGATCATTTGCTCAATCAGATCATGCGCTATGACGTCATCTGATTTGAGGGAGAAACAGTTTTCAGGTTTTCATGTATTACACCAACTTTTGCCATCAGCAGATGGCACCTTTTGAGATTATTACTTTCCAGAATACAGTTTGTGACACTTTTCTGTCTAATTTTGAACTTCCAGCAATGTCTGAAAATTGCAAGAAAACTTATTTGAGGACTGTTTGCGAGGACGATTGTTAAGGTGTGATTCTGTTTAACCTGAGCTGATTCAGGACCGGAGTATTTAATGCAGGAAAGGGAGCTGGGTAGGTGAATTTACAAGGAAAATTAGTGAATTTTATGCAGAAGTCTCTTCTTCTCTCTCTAGTTTTTTGCTTTCCCCCAGGCTCCTCTCTTCTGGACCGCTACCCGTCCGGAAACCTGTCTTTCCAGGCTGCTGGTGCTCATTCATTTAGATCTGGATCATCGTCCCCCAGGAAAATTAAGTTTCTCTTTTTCCTTCTTGTCTCTCTAGTTTGCATGTGTGCTCTGTGTTTGTCTGTCTCCCCTATCTGTGTGAATGCTGTACTGTCTCTTCTGTGCTTGTGTGGTCTGTCCTCTTCCAGAACTGCATGGTGGAGAGGAGGTTGTATGTATTGTTTCATCCTGGATC